GCTGCTGCTACTTTGAGTGGGTAAAGCAGTTACTGTGACTTAAAGCTCTCTCAGTAATCAGTTTGCCCCCCCCCCCCCCCCCCCCCTCAATTCACCGACTACTCTTTCCCTCATCCAAGTAGTTGAGAGGGGAAAAAAACCAATTGAAAAGCAATTAAAACAGGAAAAATACACCAGAATTAGGAAATGAACGCTATGGTAAACAGCACAGCTTAAAATTCCAACGCAGATGAAATAATTAAATATAAATGAAAATAAATGGAAAGCTATGAAATTTCAGTGTAACCATGCAATCGAAAAGTTTAAAATGAAATCATAAGTATGTGAAATGGTCAAATTTAATTATCAACTGGTTTACCCACTAACCTGTCCTTGTTTTTTTTTTTTTTTTTTTTTTTTAAATATATATCATTAAGGGCCATATGGCTAGTGCTGTCGCCACGACAGTGCAGGTGAAGATTTTATTTTGGCCCTAAGTAAAAAAAAAAAAAAAAAACTACTGCGGATTCGAACCCTGGTCTCCCTCTCAACAGCCGAGTATTCTAACCAATAGACCAAGCAACCACTCGATCAGAATAATGAAAAGAGAACATAACTATTTTAGATGTGTGCAGTGTCCCGATTATAACACAACTCAAAACAGCAGGCAATTGTTTTCTCAAAGACAGATATTCCAAATATATTAATGAAACGGCACAACAAAAGAAATCGCACGTGTCTAACACGGTTAATGTCGTAGTCAATGTCTGCGCAGACGTCGAGATAGTCCCTGATGCTCCCCCCCCCCACCCCTCTTTTTCCCTACCAATCTATCGGCTACTTTTCAACTCATCGAAGGATGTTTGAAAAAAAACAGAAAATATATAATATGTCTATTATTATGTATATAGTTTACTATAGCAGTATGTATATATATATATATATATATATATATATATATATATATATATATATATATATATATATGTATGTATGTATATATGTATATATATATATATATATACTGCTAAATTATAATATGTCTATTAATATGTATATAGTTTACTATAGGCAGTATATATTTATATATATATATCTCAGTGGCTTGAGAATCATCACCTTCCAAAACACATTAGAAAAGGTCTTGGAGAAGATAGTTGCTGTAGAATTTTTGGAAAGGGAAAAGCTTCTCCCAAGAGGTAAGGGAAGCTACATGCAAGAAAAGGACACAGGCAAATGCGATCACTTTTGCTTTTGACGTCCATAAAGGGTTCTGGAACAGACATGAAACTATGGCGGTAGGACTGGATCTCTAGGATGCTTATAACAGAGTAAGATACGACATCTCGATGACTGCACTGAAGGAAAAGGAGGTCAGTCCATGGCTGGTGAATTTGGTTGCAGCTGTCCTGTATTCACATCGGGATGCTCTCCGACTGGGCTCATGAACCTCAGAACCATGCAGTTTAACTCCAGGATTGCCACAGAGATCCGCCATCTCGCCTGTGCTCTTTATCGTGTATACGAGCAAGATTGCAAGCCTAGAAGCACCAGGAGTTGGAATGATACTGACTTTTGCGGATGATATACTTGCATATAGGCGGGGGAAGAGAGGGAACAAATAGCCCGGGAGCTACAAGCGACAGTAGACATAGTGACTGAGTGGTGTACAGAAATAAGGGCTGTCGTCCACCAGGAAAAGGCGTCTGTTTTGTGGTGTTCTCTAGACAACAGGATCGTTAAAGCTAATGTCCCAGGTCTCAAGAGAGTTGGTAGAAACATCAACAGAGAGAGCTAACTGAAGTATCTGGGAATTAAATTTGACAGGAGCCTGTACTTCAAGGACCATGTGGAGAGTGTTGTGACAAGATGAAAAAAAAAAAAAAAACCTTAGTGCACTTAAGACTATGGCTGCAATTGAAATAGAGCTGAAAATGCTTTTCACACTATATCGACACCTGATCCTGTCAGTGGTTGATTATGGCCTGGGACTGCTTACCATCTCAAAGAGCCAGAAGGAAAAACTAGAGCGCATACAGATCACAGCTTTTTGGGTTATTCTGGGTTGCGATACAGCCTTGGTTTGCCGACTGTTGCAGGTAGGCACAAGGTGCTGCAGGCGAAGTCATATCTTAGGGTAGCTGCAGAAACAGACCACCCTTTGTACGCAGTTCTGGGTGTAGTTAAGGGTCAGTGGCTGATAAGAGGGAAGTCATGGAGGGCTCAGGCAGAAAACACATTCAGACAGGTTTGCATCCGTGAGAACATTAGGCGAAGGGAGGAGTGGGTCAAAGTGCCACCTGAATAGTCAGACTTGTATAGGGTCATAATCATACTGAGCCGGAAATGCAGAAACTGGCCAGCATGTGCCATGGAGATAGAAATTCAGCAATTAATTCAAGACAATGCTCACTCAGAGGATTTGATTATTTACACAGACGGTTCAGTGTCAAGAGATAAAAGAAGTGCTTGGGGTTTCTTGGCAAAAGTTAATGGTCAACGTTTGGTGCAGGAGAGCCTAGCATTTGATACCACAACATCAAGCTTAAGAACTGAGATGGAAGCGGTCACTGCAGCTTTCCGCTAGTTAGAGAACACGACACGACACACACACACACACACACACACACACACACACACACACACATCGTGATTGTAACTGACTCAGAAAACATGCTGAGAAAGATCAGGACAGGCATGCTTCGTGCAGAGGACACGGGTGAGGGGTATTGTCTGGATTTTTTCACTAGGGCACGCTGGTGTGTGGGAAAATGAACAGGCGGACAGACTGGCTGGCTCTGCACAACTTGGTGGAATACTGATACATGATAAGGTAGGTGTGGTTACTGCTTTGTGGGGGAGTGTGTATAGTTCGGAGGAGCAGATTAATAACAACCAGTCTGGTGAGATTGATGCAGGGGGGAGTGACGAAAGGTTCTGGCAAATGCTCGAGGTTCAGAGGAAAGGCAAGACGAACTATTTATTAGAATGCTACTGGCACCGCTAGTATCGGAACTCTTCGCTGGCTGCTGAAGATGGGGGCTGAGCGCTTATGGGAATGCCCCGAGTGCTGTGATGTCGGTTTTTGAATCAAATCAAGTCAAAGCAAATCACGGTAAACAAAGATAGCGTGACTTATTTTGAGTCACACAAGTTCAAGCATTTGCGTGGCATTCCATACAAAGATCCTTTATTAAGCAAACGAGTACATATCGCGAAAAGCACCCAATGACGTCAAGCGCGAAATTCACCACAGACTACCCTAATTTCTTGGAGTGTCATGTTTTTTTTTTCTCGGCTCTGTAAGCATTATAAATTACATAATGTGAGCTGCCAACATGATCTTTTTCCCCCTTTGTCAACAGCCGGCACGGTGGGTGTTATTTGCTTCGTGCGTTCGCTCTTCGTTGCTTTAACTGCGGCCTTATTTGATGACTTGGAACGCACAAGCATCTACTAGAGTCGTTTATGTGCGAGTTTATGTGGCGTAGTCGCCTTAAATGTGCTGATCTCGACTCGATCACCACCATTCTTGCCGACATTTGTTTCTTTTGGCCGCCGCAAGAACCGTAGTTGGTGGACCAGCTGACTGGCGAATCATCGCTTCAGTCAACTGTCAGTTGCGTCGGCATTTTCAGATCTACTAACGATGTAAAACTGCAGACTTGTCAACTTCTGGGTCACCAACAAGTATACGGTACACCCATAACTGTCCTTCCATTTTTAGGACCCCCCCCCCCCCCCCCCCCGGGCCACACCTTTTCAGGACCAGCCAGAAATATCACAGATTCTCAAACCAGTGACGGTTGCAAAAGAGACCTATTTGGCAAAAAAAAAGACAACTAGCTGAATGCTCGCACGCGCACACGCACAAATAACAGTCGCTCAATGTCCCCTGCCACGACAGACAACTGCACACTTTCATGTCGGGTGTCGAACAAACGGTAGCCGCTTTTCCGCACAGTGTGTACAGACAGCAAATACGAAGGAACGTATATCCTAAGACCCCTACAACATAGGACAGCCACGGAAATCGCCACGGTATTAATGGGAGCTGGCCCGTAATCTCCAACGTGATAGTGTAATTTTCCTAATATGTATCAGCAAACGTTTTCACATATAAATAGGAAGTATACCAAGCTGAACTATATCAAATAGAACGTATATTGAGGTACAATAGTTCTTCCTTCCCAGACAATTCTCAGATCATTATTATTGTCCGGTTGTGCCCCATATATGTCGCAAAGGACTCGAAGTATATTCCTCCATTCGAAAAATGTAGTGTTGGTATGCAGTCGCATTTATTGGATACTACTTACAACTGACTCGTCATTCCTATATTCGGCGATCGAAACCCACTGCTGGCTGGGTGGATTTTCATCATGCTATGGGGTGTCGCAGGTCGACCCAGCCTAAAAATATGTACCATGATGGCTGTCCTGGGAAAGTAAAGACGGCCGGCGTAATGCTGACCACATTACCCACCTAGTGCTGATTATCTGTTAAAATATGGACGCTCTTCCCATATACACGATACGCCTGAAAGGCGTGAAAATGGATCTTTACTACTTTTACTTTTTACTTACAACTTCTAGTGCTGTGACGATAAAAAGTTAAAAGCAAAACAAAACAAGTAAATGGCACATCTCCAATGCTTTAGACGTCTTAATTTGCTTGTGCGAGCTTCATGATTTTGGTGAGACTGATATGTTAATAACAGTAATAATTTTGCCAAACAATTTTGATACTAATAATTATACAAATATACATAATGAATGATAAACAATTATACAAAATATGCTTTTCTTACCTAGTTCTGGCACTACATTAAAATCTCGTTAACACGAATTCCAAGGAATCGACATTCAAGAGTTCGTGTTAAAAAATATTCGTGCTATCTGGGGACTAAGAGACGTATTACAAATATTACGTCGGTGCTGGGACCAACATTATGGTCGTGTTAAAAGAGTTTTCGTTTCGAGTGAGTTCGTGTTCACGAGGTTTTAATGTAAATAGACTACCTGAATGCAGATCTTTCGTCTTGTCCCTTCTTGACAAGGGCAATATGGAAAATAGGAACGGAGCTGACATGCATTCTTTTGCCAAAGATGTTCTGTGCTTGGTCGCGAACCTGTAGCAGTAGAAAGGAGACTGGGTTAATTGCGTTTTACATTATGTTCTATTATTCTCTAGGAGTGAATGCTAGGCGCCTCAGTTAGCAATGAAATGATGGGAAAATAGGAGAGTGGATTTTTTTAAAGGATGGTGAGTACATATCTAGAAGAGGAGAATTGTTCCTGTCTTGGTTATATGATAACAGATGGTGGTAGAAGTAAAATACTCGTAAAAAGAAAACGAAAGGTCAATATATATATATATATATATATATATATATCTATATATATATATATATATATATATATATATATATATATATATATATATATCTTATTACTTCTTATTCTTTCTCTTTTTCTTCTTCCTTTACTTCTTCTTCTTTCTTCTTCTTCTTCTTCTTCTTCTTCTTCTTCTTCTTCTTCTTCTTCTTCTTCTTCTTCTTCTTCTTATTATTATTATTATTATTATTATTATTATTATTATTATTATTATTATTAATCTTTTTTTTAAATCTTTTTTTTCTTTCAGTCTAAAAAGAACGGTTCGTACAATCTATTGTCTACAGCAAGACTGTGATATCTGATCCTTTTAGCCTAAAACGTCCGATTTCGTTAAACTCGTATTTAGCCGCATCTGGCAACATTTATATTAAGGGGCAGTGGGTCTGTCTTTTCTCTCTCTCTCTCTCTCTCTCTCTCTCTCTCTCTCTCTCTCTCTCTCTCTCTCTCTCTCTCTCTCTCTCTCTGACACCCCCCCCCCTCCCCGCGCCCCGCCCCCTTAAATATATAGAAGCCCCAAGATTCGAAGTGGGAGCATAAAAATATAAGACAACAGATGACAGCAACATTTATTTAGCTCAGGTGTTCTCAACCTTCCTAATGCCGCGACCCTTTAATGCGGTTCCTTGTGTTGTGGCGACCTCCTACCATACCATTATTTTCGTCCCTACTTCATAACAAGTGTTTTTCGATAGTCTTCGGCGACCCCTGGGAAATGGTCTTTTGACCCAATAAAAGGTCGCAACTGGTAGGTTGAGAACCACTGATTTAGCAGGACATCACTGGCAAATGCAGCAGAGTTGTTATCTTTCACTGAAAATTATCACATCTATAGAGAAAATGTTATGAAAGAAATGCTCATCTTTTCTTTAGAAAACAACAAGCAGTTATAACAGCACAAGTTTAGTCTTATCTAAAATTCACATTCGACCACTAATAACAGCAGATAATTAGATGTGTTTCATAGACTGAAAAGTTTCAGTAAATGATTGAAACATTAGACTTGTCATTTTTCACAAAGAAATTAATACACATTCGATCAGCAATGAAAGCATAAGAACAGTTATACTGCACGAAAATGTAAGAAACACCTGACGAGTAATTCAATAACAGCCGTATTGCATTGAAATTTTACGAAGATTTTACCAAGAATAAAAGGACAAGAATTTGGTTTTCCTTAGAGAATTAACCAAACTTAACTAAGAAAGATTAGAGACAAGACCAGTAAACAAATACGATGTAATCGATATAATTCAAGTCGTATGTAAAAAGAATCTTAAGAAGTGTAAGGGCGGCTATACATATTTATAAATTATCCCAGATATTATTTATTCGTGTTGAAGAGTCGGTGTCACGGACTATAGTCAAGTGTTCGAACCACATTCGTAGTCAGGAATCATCTTAAGTGACTTTCGGTAATTTCGACAGGAAATGCCACTTAAGTGGCCTTTCTTTCCACATAACCAGTCATGTTCCCCGTGTGAGCTTCATGGCCACTTTGGGAAAAGAGAGTTGGGGGGGGGGGGGGGAGGAAGACAGATAGACCTACTTCTCCTTGACAAACATGTGGTAAAAAAAAAAGACTAATTAGTGGTTTGCAGAAAACTAATGTGATGGACTAAAAAGCGCAAATATCTCAGCCTAGCTGTGAACCACAACATAATGTGATAACTGCCCCTTTAAGATGACGACAGATGAGGAGGAGAGTAATAATAATAATAATAATAATAATAATAATAATAATAGTAATCAATCAATGAGTCAACCAAGTGGTGAATCAGGTATGAAGACTGGTTGTAACAGACACTATAGTTTCTCACAATATATGTATACTCTCTCAGACTACTATCTCTTTATGTTATCCGTCCACTCGCATCGCAGTCTGCCTCACTTGCCTGCAACAAAACCTATCCAGCATGGTTTCCTAATAGTGTTCTATCATTTAATGTCGCCAAAATGTTTTGTCTTTTTGTATAACGTTTTATTACGGTCGCTTTTTTCCAGGGGGGGGGGGGGGGGGGGGGGGTGTCTAGTTCAGTTGTGCCATTCAATTTTATTTCTTTCAACTGTTTTCATTTCGTTTACATTTCGTTACAAAAGGGCACTGCGTTAGCGCAGTAGATAGGAGACTCGCTTTTGAATCCAGCTGCGACTCCCTGCAGTCTACGGTCGGTGTTCGAGACCGGACGGTTCCTGGGGTTAACCCAGCCACTAGGAAATGGGTGACAGAGTTAACACTCTAAGGCAAATGAAGGAACGTCGCTGTAGCTACGGAGTTACGTGCGGACGGCGACAGTGGCGGACAATTTCTTATCAGCTCTCCCTTCTGGTGGCAAAGCACTTATGGTTTATAAGCGTGTGCAATGACGCTGGTTCACATCTCCCAACTTTACCTTTTACCTTTATTTATTTTTATACACCAATCACCACTTGATGGGAGATGATGTGGTTATCAAATCCTTTACTTTTCAGGATACCATAAGCAAAAGTAAAGAAAACCGATCAAAATGGATGTCAGGCACGGTCACTGTTTTGAGTCGTGGCTAAGTTTTTGTTTCTGCCAGACGGTGGCCGTTGCATTTTTGCTTCATTTATAGACTGTAATTATATAGTTTCGTCTCCCAGCTACTGAAGTGAGTGCACAGTGCGACCATGTGAGCTGCGGATTTCATTTTGTGTTTTTTGCGACTGTGACCAGCGTGGTGTTGTGAATTGTTGATTCAGAAAATGGCGCGTAAACTGTCGTCGCAATATTGGTGGTGTCTTATGTGATTAAAATTGATCGCGTGTGCAAATGCTGATTTGTTGGCTACCTCTGCTACCGTCGGTGATAAAAACTCCGTTTCTAATGTCGGACTGTTTGTGTTAGCACTTCTGATGGCTACCGTATGCCTTTAATGCGTGTGTATGCTAGCGCATATGCGGAGACAGCAGTCTGTCAATCTTTCCACAAGGGACTGTGATAACATTATGTGGGTTTTTCTTTAGCACAGGAGCGGAGCAACTATGGGGTGACCCGTTTGCTATGAAGCTGAAATGAACATTAACATTAAAAGTAAAGGACGTATTAGGCATGTAGGGCTAGATCTATATTTTATGGACCAATCGAAACTCGGTGGCCGACGTCGTCATCATCATACCGACCCCTTTCATTCCCAGGACTCGCACATGAAGTGGGAGCCAAGGTCAATTTTGAAAACAGCATGGCTCTGTCAGGACCGGAGCCCACATCCTTCCGATTCACAGGCGAGAGTCTAGTCGCTACACCACGGTAGCTCTCCACGCACAATGTGTGAATTAATAAAGTAAAATCTTACCTCTTGAGAGTCTGTGGCCAGGTACACATGTTTTCCATTTGCCACATAAGGCTTCAGAAACTCCCATACGGCTGTGACGGTATTTGGTTTATTTCTCACGTTATTTTCCAAAGGTAACGTTTTACTGTGACCCACTCTTATATGCACACATACTAAGTCTATATTCACTTTATCATATCCTTGAGTCTTCTGAATACTTTCTACAGACATCAACGGTTTCAGAACAGGCCTTTTCTCGTCGCAATATTTATTCGCAAAAGGTCTAAGTCGAAGCAGTTCTGTTGCATTCTTAGACCTATCTTCTATATGTCTGACACAATCGCGTGTGACTAAATTATCTGCTGCGTCTTTTACTGTTGATACTGTACACGTTTGATTGTTACAATGTGTGGTGTTTGTTGAAGGGCATGTTATATTTTCACAACCTGTAACGTTACTTTCTTTCGAACATGCCCCATCATTGCATGCCTTTATTGCGTCACTAGTTTTATTACTGCTAGTCAAATTACAACATAGATCTATAAGTTCCGAGGCGTTACATGTCTTGTTATTACAACTGGAAACATTAATATATTTATTCCCACAGCATTTAGTCTCATTAAGAAGCTGCCAAACGGTATATTCATCACTCATATCTTGTACTATATTCACTAATATCTCATTCAACTCATGACGCAAAGTTTTCGTTGGCGTCATGAGTCGTAACCAAGCCACCTGAAACAGCTTCCAAGTTGGCACCTTGGTCCACGCTGGAAATTTGTCTCTGTAATGGTGGTTATTGAGTAAATCGAACTGCCATTTGTGGTTGGTTCGCACGTAGACTACGTCTTGAGGGTACACTTTGTTGAAGTCTATTTCATGAAGTCCTAGATGTACTTTGGGTCCATAAGCCTGCGAGACAGATATTAGCATCAAGTTACCAGCATATCACATCATTATTGGAAGAAACTAAACGATGATGATGATAATTATGATGATGATGATGATGATGATGATGGTGGTGGTGGTGATGATGACTTCATCTTCTTCTTTCGTTCGCCTGAAAAAAAGTTTTCTATATCAATAATTTTTGTCTCTCTTATAAATTTCACTAGATTTTTAGATCATTATATGGTCCGTTGAGTGTACGTTCCACTTTTGTTCTTTTTGACCAAAAGATTTGCCTCAGTTCGGTGCTGTTCTTGAGTACGTATTCTGCAGTATGGGGCAACATTCCACAAGTTCACATTGCTGATACACCTGCCTTAAATATCCTGTACATGGGTTTGATGTTGAAATGGATGATGACTACGATGTTTGTCATACAAAACTAGAAGAAATCACACGAAAGTTGCCTGCGTCAATGCTTCTGATTAAATGAATGAATGAATGCATCAATCAATCATGAATTGAATCACTGCACTGGTGACATTCCCACACGTGCTCTGTCCCCTTCTTCAGCAGCCGACGAAGAGACGATATGCTAATAGTACCAGCGGCAACTTGACAGAAGTCTATATCCCCCCCCCCCAAACCTCCCACACACACACACACACACACATATAAAATCAACAACAAAGAATTTTTTTGACAGTTAATTACAATACATTGCAGAGCCACCCTAACAGTTTTTGGCGGTCGAGAATTTTACTACTAGGTAATTTACTTTTAATATTTTGCCATTGGCTCTATACGGTCGGCTCCCAATACCGTTGCCAAAATTAACGCAAACAAGAATGCTGTCAACTCGCCCGCAGCTAGAATCGAACCGGGTAAATCGAAATAGCGAGCCGGGTTTGCAAGTGCCTAAGCTACTGACTTTTTTATTTTTAAACCAAACGAGTACACCCAATAGGCCTCTAGACGCGGAACAAGATCCCTTTAATTGTGTCCCATATAAGAGGCAGTGGTAATCCGATAACCCGTGCGAAATTGAGATAATGAACATCCTAACACCCTGCTATTTCTCACAATGGTGTGCAAGTTAACGTGAATTTGGGGCATTACCCACACAAAAAAATAACTGTATAGTTGGAGTGTATGGAAATGTCGTTGTGGTCTCAGTTCGATGAAACGGAACTCCCAACGACTTTGTTCAGTGTCCTTTTATGTCATTACATGTAATTTAAGGCTTTGAGGCTATTTCTTCACTCAGTTAGGGGCTGCGTCTTCTCAAGGCATGGTATTCGCCTCGAGTACTGGAGTTGCGGGTTCAATCCCCGGTAAGGGCTGCAAGTTTTTTTACGTGGACTTGGACTTCTAGTAATTCCCCCGGGTCTCTGGGTAGTGAGATCAGACGCCCATGTGCATTGTTGTCCACTTAAAAATATCCTTTGGCAGTTGAAAATCGAAAAGAGTAGCCTAACGGAGCTGCCCGGGCAAAAATTACAAATCTACCAAAAGTATTTCAGGATCCTCGTCGGTGCTACAGAGCCTGTGCACTGTGCTGAGCTTCTTCGGACTCAAAAATGGTGAAAACATGGGGGTGACTGCAGTCAAGCTTATTCAAGGAATTCCAGAGAAATTTGACGATAAAGCCTCGTTGTTACGTTTGTGTAGTTCACTTATGTTTGAAACTCGTTACGTTTGTGTAGTTCACTTATGTTTGAAACTCGTTGTTACGTTTGTGTAGTTCACTTATGTTCGAAAAAGGCTGCCGGGCCGAAACGTTACGTTGTGTCGTTTTGTTCACGCTTTTCTGCTTCCCCATTTTATTGAGCTTTTTAGTCAAATTTCTCTGGAATTCTTCGGACTCAGGTTTGAGTTAGAAGAAGAACGGAGCACTTATGAGTTACTACCCGTGTGCCATGATGTTGGTCCTTTGTTCAAACCTCAAACCACATGTTCTTCACTCTGGTATATCATGTGCAGTCTCTTCGATATTATGGAGGGAATGCAGTCTAGCATCTTCGGCTTCGATCATCAGTTTTCGCTCTAGGCAATCTCTTGGACGTCCTCGTTTCTTCTTCTTCTTTTTCTTTTTATCTTCCATATTGTACAAGTAACCAACAGAGTTATGGAGGAAAGAGAGAAAACACGGAATAAAGCAGCAAGGAGGCAGCAAATACAATCACCCAAGTCTCAAGGAACCGAGCCTAAAAAAATCATGTGAAGTTCTAGACAAGAAAGTGTCGACGTCTCTGACGTAGCCCTTCACGGACGAAACAACTTTGCTAATGACTCAGAGCATCAGGGAGCTGGAGGATCTGAACTACTTCAACCCAGACTTGCTAGAAGACGACGTACCATGATCCTTAAAAGAAAAACCGATCTGAACGACGAAACCTGATGCCAAACGAGGCCGACACCGTCACCACAAAAACTAATGCCAGAGACGATACCGCCAGTACCAAAACCCCTTGAAACCCTATGTAAGAGAAGCACACGACATCAGGATACAAGAAGACCACCGAAACAACACCAGACCCCACCATAACCCCTTGCTGCCTGACCAAAGCAAATAACTGCTGGTCCTTCTTAGGATAAACAGATCCCCCTCCTTGGACATACGAAACGGCCAATCAAACCCACCAAAAATTGACATGACGGCGGAGAAGCCAATACAACGATCCGGAGCGACAGAACACTGAAATCACAATCCAAAACCAAATGAGGACCAGAAACGTCACCACGAATGTAACGGACAGGACAGAGATCAGCAATGTTTTCTGACCATAGCTGAAAGTGGTCAACGTTAAATGATTGATTGATTTATTCCACCGTGTACCTCAGCGAAGTGTCGGGGCAAGATGTAACGTTCGTTTATTAGCTCTGTCAAGAGCACTATTAAGACTGATGTTCATTTTTGTAAGGCTGTTCTTAATGCTATCACTCCATATTTTCCGAGGTCTTCCACACGCTCAATATATTGTAACGTTTTAGTGTGGCTCGCTGTGGCAGATAGTTACAGGGATTCTTGTTAGGTGTCCAAACCACTTCGTTTGTTGTTCTTTGATAACCTGTAAGACTGGCTTTATTCCTAGCATTCGTCTGATTTCGTGATTTCGTATTCTGTCTTTCCTTGAAATTCCTGCAGCTCTTTCAAGGCATTTAATCTCTGTTCTCACAATGTTAGGATCATTGGAGGATGTAAGTGTCCATATTTGGCACTCCTTTCTTTGATTCGTCAATTTCGCATTTCAGAGCTTGTTTGGTGATTCTTTTGTGATTCAACGGTTTCTATACCCAGCATATCTTTGCTTTAATTGGTCACAGTGTGTCTCCCCCCCCCCGCCCCTTCTCCACGCCCCCCCCCCCTCGCCCATTTACAAACACGTTGCAATGAAATACGATCTACATTTTCGCACTGTGGACTCTCAGATAACTGAATGATATAAAGACTTGTATTTTGCGCAGGTGGCTATTCCAGTGTTTAGGGGGCTGACCTGTCATGCGAGAGATCCTGGTTCAAGCTTCGGTAAGATGTGAATAATTTTAACTGTAGGAGGTCTGGAAAAAAAATACAGGGAGGGGGTGGGAATTACATTATGGGGAACCATAAGAACAGACCCCTGCTCCCTAAAAGAGCGTCGTAATGGACAACTAATTAGAGGCTGTTTTTTTTTTTTTTTTTTTTTTTTTTTCCAAAGTCGGAGTACCTCTACCTGTATGCGAGGAGCCAAGAGCATACATGCAAAAAAAAAAAGCAATTTTTTGTAAAACGGATTTGCATGTTAAACGTAAACGTAAAGTGGCGTAAATTCTGGGTTTTCCATTGGAGTTTTACTGCCAATGGACGCTAAGAAAGAGACCCAAGTTGGAATCGTGGTTTAGGCTTGGATTGTTTCTTTCTGTCGAGCGACACACACAAAATCTCAACCTGTACTAACCATGAGGCCCTAAATCCTCAGCCTAATCCCCCCCCCCCCCTTTTTGCCCCTTCGATGGCCTTCATGGCAACAACAACAAAATATTAGTACACACAGTAATTGGTGGAGATTTTAGAGGAGGAGGGGCAGGTTTAGAACTCTGAGAAGAAAAACGATCAGTCAAATGCCATCTATGAATTAGAATTATGCTGTAAATGAGTCTCAAAAACTCCACAGTTCTGCGAATTCTTTGTGCTTTCTGTAAGCTTTTATCAGTCCAACGCTCGAAATTGTCAGCCGATCTGTAACTTCTTCTTGGTCTTCAGCATTCCGAGCCCTTGTGGTTCATTGCTGCAGATATAATCCGCATCCATTCATCTCCCCGGTTGGCTTTCTCTTTACAGTTGGTGACACCAAATGTTTGCAGGTCTGCCTGGACATTATCTCTATATGGTCTTCTTGGTCTGCCTAAGTTTATCAGCTTGCAAAAATTCAGCACTTTCTAGACGAAGATGCAAGAAAAGTATTTTACGCGTCTTCCATACAAACACATGTCGACTATTGTTCCACAGTTTGGGATTGTTGCGCCAAATCCAATGTTAAAAGACTAAGTTCTCTTCAAAACCGTGCTTAACGCCTGGTTTCAGATAATAAACAAATTGTAAAAAATAATCTCTATAACCATCTAAGACTATTGCCATTTAGAAAACGTTTAATTTTTAACAAGGCAAAATTTATTCATAAAATGTTATCTCAAAATACTCCAAACTACCTTTTCCGATTAATTAAATCAAATCCTATAAATAGCAAGCGACTAAATTTATTAAATTTACCTAAACCTAGAATAGATTTATATAAAACAAGTTTAGCGTACTCCGCTGCTTATTTGTGGAACCAACTTCCACTAGACCTGAAAAATTCTAAAAGTCCCTATTCATTTAACCGTAAACTTTTTCAATTTATACTTACAAGCGATTATATGCAACCTTGAATGTAATGTAACCCATATTGCATTATCAATTTATTATTAAACAAAGTGTGTATGATATGTATGTTTGCGCGCGCGCGTGTGTGATATGTATGTATGTGTAGGCGTGTTTATATAATATGATTCTGAGTATGTTGTTTGTCTGCTTGTGTATCTGCGTGTGTGTCTGCGAATGTATGCGTCTGCGTCCTTGTGTGTGTGTGTTCGCGCGTATGTCCACATGTATGTTTCAGTATGAATTGGTCTGTGTGTGTTTCTGTGTGTTTAAGTGTGCCTCTTTGCTGTGTATGTGTGTCTGCGTGTGTGCGTGTGCGATTGGATCTATGTAGCTGTGTATATGTGTCTGTGTGTGTGTCTCTGTGTTTGTCTGCATGCGTGTGTGTCTCGGTGTTTTCCTGCATATTTCATGTGACTGTGTGTATATCTTCGTTTGTGTCTGTGTGTGTCCTCGTATGTGTTCGTCTGCATGTTTGCCTGTGTATGTTTATGTGTTTTGTCTGCGGGTGTCTATGAGGCTGTATGTATGTATCTTTGTGTGTGGGTGTCTGTATGTCTGTCTGCGTGAGTGTATGTGTCAGCATGTGTCTGTCTGTGTATGTCTATGTGTGTTTCTCTGTGTGTATTGTGTGTTCCCCTTTGTTGTCTGTATGTGTCTGCATGTCAGAGTATATGTCTGTGCGTGCTGAATATATGTGTCTGCGTGTGTATTTCTATGTGTTTGTATGTGTATGCATTTCTGCGTGTTTGTCTGTGTGGGTGTCAGATTGTGCTTGTCTGCCTGTTTGTATTTGTGTGTGTGTGTGTTTGACTGCGTGTGTGTCTATGTGGCTGTATGTATGTGTCTGCATGTTTGTCTGTGTGTGTGTGGTGTGTGTGTGTGTAAGTGTGTGAGCACGAATGTAAATATGTGTGCTGTGTGTTTTCCTGTGTGTGTTTATATGTAAGAGTCTGTTTGTGTGTCTGTATTTTTGTCTAAGTGAGCGTGTGTGTCTTTGTGGGAGTGTCTCCATGCATGACTGTATTTATGACTGTATGTTTGTATGTGTGTATGCCTGTATTACGAATGTATGCCTATATGTTTGTATCTTTGTATGTTTGTTTGTATGTATGTATGCCTGTGTGTATGCCTGTTTGCATGTTTGTTTGTGTGTATGTACGTATATATGTGTGTATGTAATGTTTGCATGCATGTATGTGTGTGTGAGTGGGTGATCGTGTGTATGTGGGTGTATGTATGCACGCGCGGGTTTTTTGCACGCACTTTACAACTCATGCTTTTGTGTTCTTTTATAATATTCATAATATGCATATTATCATATGATCATAACATGCTTTATTAGTAAAAATACAACTGCTGTGCGAAAGATGGTTTACTGGAAGGGCCGAATGTAAGACGGGCCTGCGTACCCAATTTGTGACCCTTTGAAAATAAAGTTCGTTCGTTCGTTCGTTGTCTATCTATCTATATCCTCTTTGTGTCGCTGTCGACATAAGGCATTCGCAAGTGTTCTCTATTGCTGCCGGTCAGCTGCTTTTTTTTTTTTTTTTTGGCCACTGGTATCCCATGTCAGTTTACATTCTTCGATTTCCCGTTCTTTTGTCCTTCTCCAGGTTTCCTTAGGTGGTCCACGTCTCCTTTTCCTATCTGCTGTCCACCGGAGAGCTGTTTTTGCCAGTGTCACAAAGCATTCTGCAAACATGTCCAAGCCATCTATATCGTCTTACTTTGATAACATTTGCCAGTGATGCACATTCTGTTTTTCTCGCCAGTTCTTCGTTTGTGATCTTGTTTGGCCAAAATATTTGTAGAATTCCCTTAAACATTTATTTTGAAAAGTTTTAAGTTTGTGTGTAGTTCCCGCTGTCGATTTTCAACATTCACTGTTGTATAATAGTATTCCTAAAATTAAACTTTTGTATATTCTGAGTTTTGTCTTCAGACTAAATCCCTTTGACTTCCATATATTTTTAAACATTGCAAATGCTTGATCTGCTTTGTTTATTCTTAATGTTGCATCCTTTTCAGAATCTCCATCTGGGGTAACTTTACTTCCGAGGTATATACATTCTTCAACTTTCTCTATTGTCCTCATGGTCTACGACCATTCATCTACCTTGTGTATACAGTTTTTTACTAGCCGACCTGTGGGGCTTACTTAAATGTTGACTGCTAAACATGATACCAGTGATAAATGAGCCTAATCTAAAACTACAGGGCACATAAAGAACAAAAGGAGAAAATACCTGTAGCATTCAACTTTATCTGTGAATTATACAAACCACAGTATCAGAAACATTGTAAAGGTAGAGGTGAATTTATTACCTTGGCAGATTTATAAACTTCTTCGCCTTAACTTCGCTGTATTTCTGTCTCTTGTTAGTAGTCCGGCTTTTAATAGTTTTCATTTATCCGTTTCCGAAAAATACAAGGTTTCAATTTTCTTGGTCTGCCATCTATCTCCGAGTGGAGCATAGGCTCTCAACAAACCCACGACAATTGTATGAAGCCCACCTCATGTCCTCGTCATTATTTTAACTTCTGACTCTCTTCTGCGTGAGTGTGTGTGTGTGTGTGTGTGTGTGTGTGCGTGTTTGGAGGAGTCTGTATTTATTTCCATGTCCCTGTGAGTTCGAGTGCGGGGACACTAATATAAACTTTTTTTTCGGTGTCTGGTTTGAGCAGTGTTCTGTAAAGAGTGAATCTATTTCATTGTCTGGAGCAAAGCTAGGTTCCCACTAGGATCGCATACTAAGAGATTAGCTCCCGGTGACCCAAAGAATGACTATTTGTATGAGAGTACTCCAGTGCAGATGTGACAGAGTGACACTATGTGTGTGGGTGTTGCAGCATCTCGTATGCTTCACTAGCGGTACCATTCAAAAGGAGGAATCGAACCTGCTCGTAACAAGTACATGCCTCGCATACAAAACATGATATTTAAAAAAATCACAAAGAGAGCTGATCACCCATATCAGAAAGAAACAATCGACATTCTTTGATCATGTGATGAGAAAGAGAAAACTGGAGTGCATCGTGATAGATAGTTGGAGGGAAAGAGAGGCAGAGGGAGACAGAGATAAAAGATGCTGGGCAATTTGACATGATGGCATGAAAGTAGGTAGGTAGTTGTACTCCACCAGGACACAACCGATAAACACCTGGTAACACTAACTGCCATCGTGGGTAGGGCTTCAAAAAAAGAAAAAATGCATCCCACATAAGGACGACTAATTGATATACAAAATGGCAT